ATTTGGGAGTTCTTCAGTGAAACATAAGAGATGGATGAAATGAGCTTTTACAAGAACAAAAGAAGAGTTTAGTGGTGAAGACAGAAGGCAATCATGCACAGCACTGAATATCCTTGTGGAAAGACAGGAAGGATGGAACTGTTTTGACATTATTAATATCAAATAGAAGATTTATGAGTCCACCCAAAAATTAGAATTTTACATTTGGAAATACAATGAAACATATATTTGGAAGGATTGGCAGTATCTAAAATGCTAAAATGTTAAAATGTTTAAGTATTAAAACACAAACAGACACACACATTATAGGGTATGTAATTCAAATAAATGCTGTTTTTAACTATTTTCATAAAAAAAACAAAAAACTGAAAAATCTCTCAAAAATAATAAGCAGCTTAATTGTTTCAAAATTAATAATGAAATAATGAAATGCTACACTGAATCAGCATATTAGAATGATTTCTGATGGATGTTGAAAATTCAGCTTTGGCACCACAAATTGTTCTAAATTAAATTTTATACAATGTTAAAATAGAAAATAGTTATTTTAAGAGTAGTGATTAATAATCACTGATTATATTTCATAATTTTACTGTTTTACTTTTTTATTAAATAAATGCAGCACGTGTTCATAAAAGACTTCTAGCTACAATATAATATATTGATCTTTTTATTCAAAATGTAAATTCCTTTCAACATTAAGACAAGCACAAGAAATCATATAGAACAGAATAAAACTTGAGTAAATGTGTTAAATAAATATGATTTATAATTTTAAATTTACTTAAATTAATCTCTCTGATTAAATACAATAAAATCGACCTAATAATTCCATGAATGAAGGATTTATAAACATTTGTAAGTTGTTCATGTAAAATAGACTTTATTTCTGGTGTCATTTGAAATCAATTACTTAATGTGAATGAAAAGACAACAACGATCTATACGCACATACTGTAATTCTGAGAAGCAGTGTATATTTACATATAATACATATTGAATCATGTATGTTTGAGTCACAGGTTCGTGACAGACTGACGGTCTGTCTCTCTCTATGGACATTGTTACAACATTTCACACGGTTCTTTCTCTCCCTGGACCAACCAGAAATGTTTAATCCATTAACCAGCGACAACACAGCATTGTACTTTATTTTATTTCTTACTCTGGCCTATTATTCATTTCCCTCTTTTAGCCAAAGGATTATGATGATGTTTTTTGTTTTCCATTTTTTAAGCCATGACAGATTTGAAGAACATCCATATGTTTTATTTTGACGTTCACATCCTGCTGCTCCGAACGGTTAGATGCTGGAGTCATAAACCTATCATTAAACATCATTAATCCCCAGGTCCCTCGTTAAACCGGCCATTCTGCAGTCTACCCTGGAGGTATTACAACAACCTTAACTACCATTGGCTGATGGACTTCAGCAAAAATTATTACCTTAATAAAGTCTATTTTATAATATTTGCATGCACAAGCATCTTCTATCTGACACTGCAAAGGCTGTCTGGCTCATTTTAAGTGCTCCCTTGGGGAAGTTTCTTGACAGGCTAAGTGATGTGTGGCACTCCCATTTGGAGAGGGACTGCAGTGATGCTGTTTGAGTAAATATGGGCTTTTAACTCTGTTCCAAGTCGTCTCATTGCATTTTAGGTTAAAGTCCATGTCATTGCCTTCTCTATCCTTGCCTTCTCCACCACACTCACTCTACTCTTTTAGCTGGAAATATGAAAATAATACTTCAACGCCGTCTCATGCTGCAGACCTCTAGAGACCAAATACAGCTGGAGGCGTCTGCAATCACCAAATTTAAGAAGCGTGTTGTAAATTTAATTAACGATCACAGCAAAGCTAGTAAAATTCAATGTCCAAGAACACTGTTTATGGGTATTTAACTTTACATTTAATAGCAGTGATGGTGGGAGCTGGGAATGCTTTTTGATTTGGCATGCAAAGTGTGAAGAATCCTGCTGATACTTGCACCACAGGTTAACAACACAATTTCAGTTCACACCAAAATAAAAAAAGTGAAAAGATCACTTTTGCAACAGTTGGTTTTGTTGAGGTTTAAAGTGAATATCATTTGTAAAGGGAATGATATAGGGGATGTTACATTAAAGGGACAGACCCTTTAATTTACTCCCTCTCATGTCATTCAAAATGTTTTAATATTATATATTTTTATGTATATTTTATATATATTTTTAATGCTCTGAATATATTAACCTAACGGTTTGGGTTTCCACTGACTTCATATGGACATCAATGGGACCTAAAATTCTTTGGTTACCCACATTCTTTAAAATAACTTGCAGAAAGAAATACATACAGGAATGACATGAGGGAGAGTTAATGATGACAGAATTTTCATTTTTGGTTAGACTATCCCTTTAGGTATAAGCCACTGGTAAAAATAAAAAGAAAAAATTGCAACTAAAATACATCTGAAGAAAATGGCACATGCAAAATTACATAAGATAACAAAACATCCATCTTAAAGATCATGGGTCTGCACAAGACAACCGCACAGTCAATACTAAATCATTCCATGTGAGAACGACAAATTGTACAAGACACATGATAGTTGCTTTGGCCATTATAGAGATTTGCTTTCTGTTCCCTACTAAGAAAGAGGGGTGTCTGAAGGGATAGCAAGCAGACGCTAGGCCATAAACTTCACAAGTCCTTCCCAAATGAAAACCAAAGGTCATAAATCTCATCTCAGTAAATGCTGTATGTGCCTTTTTAAATCGCTCGTCAAAATATTACAAGATTTAACTGACAGCCAGGGAACACAATAGTTAGGGGGCAACGGGTCTAGTCACAGTCTAGTCACTAGTCAAACTCAAACTAGTCAAAAAAATTCAGAAAGGGAGTTTTCACAGCAGTGCCATAAAACAACCATTTTGGGTTTCCAAAAGAAGCTTTTTTTCTTACTAGGAAGAACATTTTCATAATCTGAAGAACCCTTTCATGAATGCTAAAGATTTATTGAACCAAAGATTCCAACAAATAACCTTTACTCTGTAGTTAAAGAGATGCAGTTTTGGGCATGTTGTCACATTTTTTAGCAATATTTTAACAGTAAAACAATTATGAAAAACAGAACAATTCATGAAATGGTAACGAAAAATATGAAACTATTGTTTTGCCAAACTGCAATGAACGAATGACATAAATTTATAACATTTGAAATATATATACCCTGACTCTAGCGTAGTTTTACTTGACCTTTTTACGTTTTACTGAGATAACATATCTTGTCACATCTTCCCCATGTGACAACTAGCCCCAGCCTCCCCTATGTGGAATTGTATCTGATATAAAGTAGCTCTCAGACAGGATTTATTCCCCTGAATGAACCCCCACTCCAGAAAACCCTTTTCCCACCATTTCTTTAGTGCTGATGCTTTCTTTAATGTCTTGCATCCACTGTGAATTCTTCACCCTTCTTGAAGACACTTATTATACTCTTCTATATGAGCGAGACCACCACTGCTTTCCTTTCTCCTCTGTGTTCATGGGGAGTGCTGGATTAAAATCCTAGGGGGTGGATTATGGCAATAACCATTTATTAATTTCTACAGGCTTTAAAGGTACAGTACGATCTGTGAGAAAAAGAATAGGACAATAGAACTCCTTCATCTCCTGGTGTCTGCAAGAGTCATTGCCGTGTGTTACTTTACAAAGCGCCAGTGAAAAGAAACAGATGCTGTGTGTATCTGATACTTTTAAAAACAGTGTAAATCATCGCTACCACCGAGTACATTTTTAAGATGATCAATGGTACCTATACTCAAAGCTTTTCAAGTTCCCCTGAGAACAAAGGCTTAAAGATCAGGTTTAAAGATAAAACTTCATAAGCAATTCAGAACAGAAGAATTACAACGGTTTCAGAAACATGTAGATTAATCACGCAGCGATATCTGGACAAAACGTTAACAATAAATAAGGACTGCTATATATTGAACATGGAATTATTTGCATTAAGACAACCTATTGCCAATGTTAACATATGTTGTCCAGGAAATATCATAAAGCACACACACTTAAAGTCAAGAAGATAGCACAATATTGGAGGGCTGTATAGAGATCCGCAACTACACAGCAAACATATTTAATCAGAAACAAAGCTGTAGTCCATATCAAAGCTTTTCCAAACTCCTAAACCTAATTATTAAAAATATTAATGATACCTCAAATTATGCGAGTTGTTTAGTGTACTTTTCCACGCAACTGGATTTGGCCTGGTGGATGAAAAAATGAGCAAAATATCCTCCTAAACAACCACTCAAGAAACAGAAACAGCCTAGCTATTGATGGACAGTAACATTAAAGCTAAATGTATTGAATATATTTGTTTAAGTACAATTCACAATAGCGAGTTAGTAGCAATGCTATTTTTCTAATTATGTGTCTTTTACATTACATACACTACTGCTTAAATGTTTGGGGTTAGTACATTTTTTGAAAGAAATTAATCGTTTTATTCAGCAGCGATGCATTAAATTGATCAGTCAAGACATTTATATTGTTAATTCTATTTCAAATAAATACTTTTTTATTTCAATAAATTCAAACTGTGTTAATTTTTCTTGACAAATATTTGAGCAATAATGATGTGTGTATGGAATCAGAACAAGCTGAAGTTCTGGAATAATTGACTCTTTTAATTCGGTTCTTTTCAAAGAATTGGTCAAAAAAGGCCTGAATCATCTAAATTTACTAAATGAAATTGGTACCTTTGTAAATTACCTACTACTCTGAATCAGTTGGATCCTGTTTCGTTTTGACAGCATGCATGTTTAAGCTTGCTGGCAGATAACATTACAAGTCTCACTTTCATAACCACCCTTTTTCTTACATCAGTAACATCTTATGGAAACTCATGTTGCTGTTAGCGGTGTTTTGTTTTTATGTGTTTTGTATGCAGTATTTGTATGTTGGAGGTTAGTAACATTTTGTGTCTCACTTTTGAAACCACTTACTTGGCCAGTGACAACATGGAAGATGGTCGAGATTGGTGAGCTGTGTGTACAACAACTGCTGCATGGATGCTTATTAATTACAGCTTCTTACGAGGTTATCACAGTCCTGGCAGCGTCATGCTGTTGGGATATTTCTCTGCAGCAGGCCCTGAAATGAATTTGGACGAATTTATAGAAATTGGTTTTCACTTCAACAGGATTAAACTAATTGAGATATAATTGCATGTAATTTACTAATAAAATAAATTGCAATCACCATCTCACACACAAAAAAATAGTTTTTATATCTTGCTCCACATTTAAAGACATTGCAATATTGTAACAGATCAAGGCAACCCAAAATACTGGACATTAAACCTACCTGTTAGCAGATTTTACACTAAATGTAGACGGGTCAAAGTTTTCCTGGTAACTGGTTAGACTAGAGCAATCGTCAGGAACTGATGTTTATGGCCCCCTGTTGGATTGTGAGGAAATGGAAAGTGCTTTATGATTGATGTCAGCTTCATATGCAGTCAGGTCAGGTCAACTCTTAGCTGCTGTGAATGGGCCATAAAATACTGAATACTGATTTCAGAATTGCACAGCACACACTTCTTTCGATGTCCTTCACAGAGTCTCAATGAACATTAGATTAAAAAAATTTAAACTAAAATAAAAATAGGAAATCAATTGATTTTAAATGATATAATTATAAGTTACAGTTGCAGAGGGACAAAAATATCCAGAAAAGCTCATTTTAAATTCTTTCCTTTACATACTGATCCCTCTCGGTAGCAATAAACAGACAGGAAATGGCTCTCAATTACCTAAATTAAAATGGCAACACCTAATCCTTGTTTAAACTCACAAAGGGAGAAAGGAGGGAAGCTGTGCCGTGGGCTAACTGTTTTTCAGTGGAAACTTTTGATAAAACATTTATCCTTGAACTAGGAAAAACTTTTAGTATGATTCCATGTCATGCAAGATTGGTTTATATGAGGCCAGATCTGGTGTAAACAATACATATTTTCTTTTATATTGGTAGCTCAGCCAAAACTCATAAGAAAACTCTCCTGCTCTTTATTAGACTATGGCACGCACTCTAAACTTTGTCCTGACAAGCAATCCAAGGATTGGTCAAGCAGAAGACAAGCTAAAACAATTGAGGAAATCTAGTTGACTTGATCATCATGATATATGTAAGTTGGTGGTTAAAAAAAAAAAAAGCTTGCTAACACAAACATTGCAGGCTCAGCCCCAAACCGGAGTGGGCCAGGACAACACACTCTCGTGGTAATTTGAAATTATTTTATAAAATAAAACCTACTTTTGATAAATTGGTGAATGTGTACAATCTGCTTATGCCCCATTGAGGTATTTGGTTAGGTTGGATTTGGGTTGTATCTTTTTTGCTCTAAAAATTTTATGTTTTTATACAAAATCAATTCATACAAATTCATAATAGTTACATTTTCTCATTAGATCAGTATCATTTGTAAAAATTTGTGAAAAGCTTCCACTAAATGGCAAGTAGCTGGTTGTGCACTAATACAATCAAGCATTGGTAAAGTTTTAAAACACTGATAGTCAATACATATTTGGAAGTGTATAGGCCTACTGGAAAAGAGCTGGAAAAAATGCTAACTTTTTTTTTTGCAAAGTTCTTAGTTTTGCATTTAGTTCGTTATTTAATTGTTTTATTAAAATCTTAACCTACACATGTGTATATTGCCAAGGGTGAATAATATTTGAGTACAGTGCTTTCCATCAAGCTTAACAACAGTTGAAACGTTTAAAGTGTAGCTGACAAGAGTTAATGAATTAATTAACCTACCTCAACATTTCCATCACAGATTGAGTATGAGTACAGTGTGAAAGTGAAAAAGTGACGTGACATGTGGCCAAGTATGGTGACCCATACTTGGAATTAGTGCTCTGCATTTAACCCATCCAAAGTGCACACACACACAGCAGTGAACACACACCCGGAGCAGTGGGCAGCCATTTATGCTGCAGCG